TGTTTAAGAAGCATTGCTCGTATATCGTGGGACAACCGAGTAAGCAATGCTGTCGTTAGGAAACGAGTACTAGGTAAGGATGGCAGATCAATTGATGAAGTGGTGAAACTTCATCAGTTGAGGTGGTTGGGACATGTGTTACGTATGCCTAACCACCGACTGCCTCGACGAGCTATGTTTTATGGTGTAGGAGTAGGTTGGAAGAAAGCTAGGGGCGGTCAGACCAAAACATTTCAGAAATCCATGAAGTCACTGACTAGTGGACTAAGTCATGTTGGTAGATGTAGACTACCTGGCTGGGGTCCGCGAGACGAAAGTGACCAATGGTTAGAGACCTTGAACGACATGGCTCAAAATCGTTTGCAATGGCGCAGGTGCATCCACTCTTTGAGCTCTCTCAAATCGTAATCTTCTGGATTAGCCAGCACCTCTACCTTTGTCTTTCTAACCTTATCTCACTGAATTATACTTTTTGAATAATATCTTCAAACCCTAGTCTTCTTCATTATCATTACTACCTCTACTATCTTTATCACTATGGGATTTGATTTGACATTTGCGTCTCTGTGCTAATGTGGTATGGCAACATGAAATGATGTACATACGTACGAAGTTCTACGTTGCAACTGACTGACTTTAAAATAAATGGATTATAGCTAGTAGTAGAATCAAGAACTCGTGTTTCATCCCATTTTTAACTCGTCAGCTGAACTTATCTGGAATCTAGTTTTGTAATATTCACATAGAAACTTAAATACAGTTTTATTTGTTTCAAACACCAGTGCCTTATCCACTTAGATACTGAGTTCAGATAGTTGACTAATTCAGTTAACCAAAATTATGCCTATATTATTATTATTATTATTATTATTATTATTATTGATTCACCTGGTTGATCGTGCCAGTCTACGCAGAATGCACATATATATATATATACATATATATATATATATATACATATATATATATATATATATATATATATATATATATATATATATATATATATATATATATCAACGAAGATTGATCAAAATTCAGTTTTCTTCATCATCAGTGTGAGTATTCACACCTATACTAGTCAGTCAATCGTATTTTCTCATCAGTATCACATAACTGATTCTCTAGTAAATTTTTATTGTGATAACAGAGAAATATGTTAATTTATTATTATAATCCAATCTGTTTATTTTGTTCTTTACTCACCTGGTTTCACACCATGTGATATTATCAGACATAGATCGTCTGTCAATTGTCAAGAACTAATTTATATATATTTCAATATGTTTAAATAATTGCATATGTTTATATGATATGTGATATTCAGTGTTAAATTTCACTTGTTTAATAAATTCAATGTTCATTATAAGTAATATTTTATTTCATATTATTTAATTACTAATAAAAATTAATTTGAATGATTATTTTTTTTTATTAGTTCTGAGGTTCATAGTTTACTTAAAATTTAATATGTTATAGAATAGTTAAGTATATATGTTATAAACAAAGAAAAAAAAATTTGTTCACATTCTTATAAATCATTAAGCTAACAAATAGAAATAGTTTTTGTTTATTTTTATTGAAATCATAAATCAATTATTGGTTAGACCACCATTAGAAGAAACCTGGTCGATTTATGATTTCAATTAAAACGTAACAATCCATAGCTCTCTCTCTCTCTCTCTCTATAAGGAATACCTATTTAAACTCTATATGTTACGTATAGTGAATCTGTTCAAACGTACATGTGTATTAACAATGATGATATTCAACACTTTTTTTTCAATGAATATACGTAGTATGGCTTGATAAATTATAAAACATTCATTACATATAGTTAACGATAAGTTTTTTTTCTAATCATTAACTATGTCTGTGTATGGTGAAGTGAATAATGATTTTGTTTTAATATAAACACATTTCAAACAATCAAATATCCCAAACATTCTTCAATGAATCAAATAAATAAAAAAAACTCTAGTAATGATCAAATCGAGATAAAGTATCATTCTGTGAAGTTGCAAACCATTGGTTCGAACCATGTCTCTAGTGCTTCATACCCGTCCCATTTGAAGTTCACTATTATCTCTTGTAAAGGTATAGCTGTGGTGTGAGCTACTTATAAGTAGTATATGACGTGAGTGTCAACGTAATGTCTGGCAGCAGAAGATGGGGGGGAGATCAAGAAAGGAAGAGTTAGAAAACAATGGAATTTGTATGAAACGCATGAATAGTGACAATGGATTGATGTTTTGCAACAGGAACAGTCCAGTTCGATATGATGAACTGATATTTTGCAAATGAACAATTTACGATATGGTTTTCCTATTTTACTGATTAACTCTGTAATTTTCGATAAATACAATACGGTTGCCCCACCTGTGTTCTCCTTCACTACATAGCTACAACGCATATTTATTGACTTATTGAAGTGTTCATGTTACAAATCAATCTTGTACTGTGTAATGTCCGATTCTAATAATAATAATACACAAGTTTCCTATACTCTCAAGCCTAACCAACTTTCTGAATGAGAATGATGTTGTACAGGTTAAATTGAATTGAAATATGTTTGTACACATATTTCATTCGAAAGTTTAACCAGATTTTCATCTAGTAGTCTGAGTTTAAATCCTTAAGAAATGAATCAACTTATAAACCAAACCAGTGAGTGATATGCGCTTATCTTGTAATCTATGTTAGTTAGTCACTTTTGCTATTGTTAATGACATATATATATATATATATATATATATATATATATAAACTATTTTTAAAGTGTTACATTTCGTCTGGTATAATAGTCATTGTAACAATTAACACAATGATTTAAAAATCGATTATAGCATATTGTATTTATTTTGGAGTGGACATTCATTCGATTAATTTAATTCAATTTCAAAAAATTTTTGTTGGCCACTTATTATTGATCGTTTTTAAGAACTTACAACACACAAGAGAAAGAAATAGTGATAGTAAACAATGAGAAAGGAACTTTTTTTTATTGTTAATAATTATATGTAGTGTATTCGTGCTCTGTTCTTGTTTATGCATTCATTATTAATAATAAGTATTCTTTCTTCTTTCATCGTAAAGAAATCAACATCTGTTATGTGTTGGTCTTTCATCTTTTGCTTGAATAATTATCATTCTTATTCTATTCTGTATTTAATGATTAGTTGTACTGGTTTCTTTCAAAATTATATGTACATTCACACACACACACACACACACACTCAAATACACATACTTTGTACAATTACTACACATTCATTAGTTTTGTCTGTTTATTATTTAATGTTTACTGATACTGAATCAATCGATTTATGTTTTGAAACATCCGGCCAAAAATTTTTTTTTTTGGCCATTTCAATAAATAAAGATTTTATACTTGCAGTTTATAAAATATGCATGCTGTATGTTTGAATGTATGTGTTTATATGTCTGTAATGGTGAATAAAATTGCATAAAAATATTTTCATGTTTTATCGATAATGTTTTATTACATGTGCTAATAGTATATTACATAACAATTATAGCATATTATATATATATATATATATATATAACTTTAAACTTTCATAATAATGTTACCGTAGTATTTGGACAGTATTTAATTATTCATTCATTTTACAGCATATGTAATCTTTATGTGACTGACTAATTGACTTGTAAAAAAAAATTATAATCATTCATTTTTAATCAATAATTGTAATAAGTATTACTATTGACATTTATGTTGGCTTTAAAGGTTTACTAGAATGATGTAATTGTTAGTAACTGTAAAGAATACAAATTTATCATAGATAGTTTAAATAATATTAAAATATTGATTTTTGTGTATATACTCAGTTTGATTTTGGTATCCTGTAAGGTTCCAGTTGTATTGACAATAAAACAAGTTACACATTTTTTGAAACCATGAATCGATCAATGTTAGACCAACATTAGAAACCTGCAAGCACTGGACGGCCGTTTCGTCCTGGTATGGGACTCAGCAGTGCGCATCCACGACTCCTGCACCCCGCAGGATTCGAACCCAGGACCTTCGGTATTGTGCGCGAACGCCCTAACCGTCAGACCACTGAGCCGGTATCTGACGGTGTCATAGATGATGAGATTAAATAAATGTCATACTAAATCGTGAAGCGATTGGCATTGAATTCGAACTTGGTGGCTGTCTGAAATTAATGCATTCTGCATGATATGAAACAACTTTCATTGATTTCTCGATTAATTGATGTGAACTTATCATGAAAGTTATCTGTACAAACTGTTTTATAGAATTGATAAAATGTGGGATTCGAACTCAGTACCTTTTGCTTTGAACATTCAACACATTATTCACTTAACTACCCTTGTTTAAATATGTTTAAATATAAATTTATAATTTGATTTGTATTTTATTCTGATTATCAACCGAAAAAAATACCAACAACCTTGTTCTGAAAAAAACACTCATGGATTTGAATCTTGATATGAACATCTACTATGAGTTCCAGTTATATCCGACTGACGAGTAGTAAATAATCATGGAACGTATGTCCTGGATTCTACTGCTAGCCACATATTAGCTATACTCGAAGCAATCTTCATAGAATGTACCAATACTAACTAGGTGTTCTGAATCCTAATTTAACACTATTCATTGTAAAATATGTTGTAATGTTGTGTACACATAACAAAGGATAACACATAATGTATATAACAAACGTTGATATAAAAATCAAACAACTATACTTCATTAAACAACTATACATATATTTTTGATTGTAAAAAAAACTAAGGTTGGGATTTTATTTTCTGTTTTTACATTTTGAAATATAGATTATGTTTGAATGATCTGGTTTTGAGTTTTACCAATTTCACATTAACTGATATGATAATATTTACGTTTATATTTTAAACTTATAAAATTTGCATAAACAAATGAAACATTTTTTTTTCTTCCTACATAGAGATAAAACATGTATATAAATATTTTTTTCTATTCATTTTAGGCAGAAGAAATATTCCATAATGTAATTTCTATTCTAGGCTTACCAAACAATTCAACAATGGATACAATAAAACAAGATGACAATACATCTCAAACTGAAAAATCAACCACATCATATACTACAATTGATGCTACATGGGATGGACAATTTCCACCTAAAGCACCAAGACCAGAAGATATTATTGTAGTCGACGAGTCAATGAATTCACCACCAACAGTGACAATAGAACCTCCTCAAGAAGATCAAAATTGTAAGTGGTATTTGTTTCAATTGATGTTTTCGTTAATGCATTATTCCATAAATTGTTTAGATATACGTTAATATGTATGTTAAACGATGCCTTAATAGTTGGTCAAGGTGTTCAAGTTCGAACCCATTCTCATACACTTCAGTTTCCGCGACTAACAAGTTGTTATACTTAGAGTGTGGTTTATGCTCAAGTACCTAATAAACGAGTTAATGAAAAAAAATAATACGTCTTTATACATTTGTATTTTTATTTTGATAGTTAATTGAAATTCTTCTTATGTATATTATGACTTCATGACCTTTGTGTACAGTCTCAAATCGAGTGTTATAAGTTTTCATTATTATAAAATTATAACATGTACAAATGTCTTCTTGTCAAGATATCTGAGCACAACAATTAACTGATATTTTAATTGGTGTAATTTTTCGTTTAATTTGTCATGTAACCATTTGTTTCTACGAATTTTTATGAAATAATCTACTTGGCGATCCTTTGTTTCACATCGGATACGTAGGAGATAATATAATCTGTGTTAGGCGATTGCTTAAAGATTTCAAGTTTGTTTTTGGCGAGGGAATATTTCTAATGGGCCTTAGACCACATCAATACAAAGTTGATTTCTTAAAACTGATAATCATCAATACACATTACGACAGTGAAAACTGAATTTATTCAGTGTACAAACTATTTTAACATATTTTAGAAATTTCATTAACCCGTAAAGATGATCATTTAACCTTAGTCCTACATTGTTCAGTAATTGATTAACTAATTGACTCTATCTTTATTATTTTTATTGATAGCTTCTGTTGTGTCTTTTATCATTGATATCCAATTTGAAAAACTGTTTACCTTTTTATCTAAAAAGAAAAAAACCTATGCTTGAGTTGTGTTGGAGCCATTATTGTCTTGCCATTACTAAAGAAGCAATAGTATTATTTAGTTTGATTATTGATCAGTTCGTTCTATATATCTGTATAACCGATGGCTTTTTATCCCACCAATGGACAACGGGCAAGACTTTAACGTTTGTTGGTCCTTGAACTATATTTAATGTAATATCCAATCAGAAGACAAGTTCAGTTATCAGATAAGGTCTGCGTTGCGTCTGAGCGTTCATTTATATGACCTAATTCATGCCGTAATATGCTGTAACGTCGTGACCATTGACCGGCATAAATGTGAAACTATCATATTCTAATGAATACACTTTCAACGCCAAAGAGAAACAATGACTTGAGAAATAGAAAAAAAAAACATAACACAACAGTTTGTGCCAAACAAAAGTGTTGGGGACGTTAGATCCACAGAACTCATTTGAGGAAGTTCCTAATTTTGGATTTTATGTTTCCGTGCAAGGGCTGATCAGTTGATCTTGAGATTGCTTTTGCCACTCGCAAAATCCTTGACTGTTATCGGTTGATGTATTATTTTAGTACGCTACTTTTATAGCTCTCTCAAGGGCGTTTCTATGATGTATAAATAAACTCGATTTGTGTGCTTGTGGACGTCATATTTCCTTGGTGCTTGTAGAATGCACTTTCTACGCCATATCAAGACTTCTTCCTCTATTTAGTGGGGCCTTGTGACGCTTGGATAAGAGTAGCCTATCGTGTCACTAGATCATTTGTCTTCACTCTCGTTTACCGACTAAGGTGAACTCGTAATAGTTTCGAGCATATCAAAGAGATTACAATTAATATGATAATGTAAGAATATAATAATCCAAGTGTCTAATAATTATAATTATACAATGAAACTATAAATGACAATTTTTTAGTCAATGGGTCCACAAGTTGTAACTCTTTAGATATTTCTTCTCCTTTTCCATAGCTTCCTGTGCTGCTATCGCATGTATTGTTAAATAATAGGAAATCTGATACACTTGGTAAATGTCATTAAAAGTTATGTAATAATAATAATAATAATAATAGATTCTATTTCTCTCTTATGTATTGATATACTCTACATCATATTATTTACTTCTTTCTACATAGAACCTACTATTCTATTTCTCTCCGATTTTTCAAATCGAAACATTAATGAAGAAAAAAATGCAACACAAAGGATAATCCATATCAATTTTGACGCAGAATAATCTGAAATTATCTTTCATAAGTAGGACAAATGAGTGAATAATAAATAAGATTAATGATGATAAGCAGTGTTTATTTAGCTTGAATTACATGATTGATACTTCATTGTTTGTATTGCGTCTCTCTGTGTGTGTGTGTGTATCATGTCTTCACTTGTCCATTCCAGTTTTGCCTTTTTGGTGTCTTCTTTTCGTTTATGACGGTGTTGGCTACTTCTTCTTCTTCATTTGCTTTAGCTTGACAAATTTTTTTATTATCTACATTCTGATTTCTCATTTGAGAAAAGTGAAGGAAGAAATATCAACAAAAAGAAATAGGTATATCACTTATTTTGTTTGTAGTTTGTTTATTTAAAACTGTTTGTTTTCCGCTTCTGTTTTCTGTGTTTACATCAGCAGTTTCTTTTTTTCATTTTCTGAAGGGAAAAGGATCTAATAAAATACTTTGCTTCATTTGTTTGTTTGTTTGTTTCTCTCTCAATGAAAGTTTCTATTTTGAAAGTGTTAAACAACAGTTGCATTTTTATGCTGTTTTTAACTTATTTCCATTGATATAAATAAATATGAAATTATTCATATGTGAATTATTGTTGAATGTTTTGCCGTACATGAAATTAGTTTACTAATAAATAAATCTATTGACGACATAATAAACGAAATGCATATATAAAATCAATTAGATATGGTTAGAATATTGATCGTTATGTTGTTTCCAAAGAGAATTAATTGATTTCACTTTCAATAATCAACATAAAATTTAGTTATTCATCATGAGCTGACATAAGTTTGTCTGTTTTTTAATCAGTCAGTCAGTCAGTTGCAACGTAGAACTTCGTACGTAAGTACATCAGTTCATGTCGCCATACCACATCAGAACAGAGATGTAATTGTCAATTCAAATCCAATAGTAGAAGAGGTAGTAAAGGTATTAGAAGTATTCGAAGTGTTTAGGATTAGAAGATATTATTCAGAAGTATGATTCAGTGAGAAAAGTTTAGAAAGCCAAGACTAGAGGTGTTGAAGAATCGAGAAGATTAGGATTTGAGAGAACACAAAGAATAAATGCACCGGCGCCATTGCGAACGATTTTGAGCCATGTCATTCAAGGTCACTAACCATCGATTATTATCATCTCGTGGACCCCAACCAGGTAGTCGACACCTACCAACATGACTCAATTCAGTTGTCAGTGACTTCATGGATTTGTGTCATGTTTTGGTCTGATCGCTCCTAGCTTTCTTCCAACCCACCCTACATCACAAAACACCGCTTATCGATGGTTAGGCATACGTAACACATGTCTTAACCACCTCAACTGATGAAGATTCACTACTTTATTAATTAATCTGCCATCCTTACCCAGTACCCGTTTGCTAAAGTAATAAAATTAACAAGTATATGGTTGGTTAGTTTGATTTTCAGTTTAGGTATCTTTTAATTACTCGCAATCATTACGTAAATATCTATTGAAGAATAAATTTAAGTCTAGAGTTTGGTTAGACGCCTGAAGTGAATACATAACAGTGAAGATAGAAACTGAAAGTGGATAAGTTTGAAACCTATTGGATATCTGAGGTAGAAAGAGAAAGAAAGAACGGATGCAATTCAAGTTTTTGCTATCAGTGAAGTAGATCATTCTGTCAAGAGGTACTGTGTACAGATTCATTGAAACAACTTCGTGAGGAGTAAATTGTCAGTTAAAATTAACCGATTTTCTTGTTTTGCTTATACGGGCCTGAAAGACAGGACAGTAGTTGTATTGACATATTACAAACATTGATTAGCTTCCCTGTACTATCTATTTAGTATAAGTGATCCTGAGTATACAGTCCGCCTACAGCTTTTCGGAAGATACTGCCGGTCCCAAGCCTAGACAAAGAAGGACGGCTGAGCATGGGGTTAGCAAATTCATCTCATAGAAAACCAACTTATTAAGAGAACGCTGATGGGATTCTATGCGTGAGATAACACCGAGAGTAGCACTAAGTGACTGCCAGTCCAGAATGCTGTTTCCCGTGTTTTAGCGCCCGATAGCCGGAACAGAAAAACTCAGTGAGTAGACATCCTAACAGCCTGAATTTATGAATTATTCACGCAATAATATAAAGCAAAATACTGCCTGACAAGGCATTAACAGAAATGTGAGATTACAATGTCAGCACAACCACACCACTTATGGAAGAAAACTGAGTGATAGGTCCGTAATAAATTAACATCAATTTCTATGTCAAACAAAGGTTCATAAGTAAGGAAATATAAAATTCAAACAACCAATATAAATGAATTAATCTTCACCCCTTTGCATAAACAAGCGGCTATCTGAACTCAATAGCCAAGTGAATAATGTGATGGCTTTTAAAGAGACAGGTATTGGATTGAAGTCCTAGAGTGAACATCAAATCTGACCTACTGATACATTCAGCTGATGGGTCGCAAATATTATGTTGAGCTCATCCTACTAATAATTCATGTAAAGGCCATATCGAAGTAATCCACATCGAACGCACATATGCTAAAGTGACCGATCAATTGCGGTCCTAAACATTAATCAGAAGATCCAAACAACCAATACATCTGAATGATGTAATAGTTTGATTATTTAGGGATTACGTATAAAAAATATCTTCAATCTGTTTCTTGGTATCCATCCTGATGTAACAAGAAAACAAATTATTATTCAATAAGCCATTAAAGAATCTAGTTGACAGTTTCATTTTTAATAAATATCTCCTTATTAGTTTTTGTAGGAACCAAGAAAACTCCTTGAGGAATCAGTAAAACTGATCATACTGTTATCTATCAGTGCAATCAAATCAAATATTTGTCTTTAAATTGACGTCTACAATTTTAGAGATATTTATTATCATATTAGATAACAAACAACAATCCCATCATGTTCTTATCTAAGAAATAATCATTATTCAGGTACATTGAATACGATTGCTCAATGGATAGATATATAATTATAAAAGATTTTTTGATGATTTTCCTAAACAATTATATATTAAAATTTGATACACTATTTATGCCGATCCATTCTCTTTAATGATAAAATCTTCAACAATTCTGTCTACTAATTTCTTCATTATCAATTAGATGTACTTGGCACTTGAATTCATTTTTTATATCTGAAATTTTTTTCTTTTATATATATTCATATTCAAGTTATCACAATGTAAGAGAAGTATTATCTATTCATAGTTCATATGATATTTTATTTATAATATATATAAGTTCAATGTTTTGTTTCGTTCTGGGCTTACACTATTTTTTTTTTCTTTCTTCGAAGTAACAAATTTTTGTCTGGCGAAGAAACTACATCTGATTATTATTAAGTTGAACTGAATAACAATAAATTAATTATAAATTCTATCGATAACAACTAGATGATATTTTATCCCAAGAAAGACAAATATTTCATACAGTTGGTAACATTTTATGAATGTTAACAGTGTTCTCCTATTTGAAAATACTTGTGCAAATATGTTCGGAATGAGATTCTCCCTGTCGAAATGCGAAATGTTGCTTCAGGATTGGCTTGCATCGGTACCTGAACTAGTGATAAGGAGTAAAGCAGTTGAGTGTTTTGACCGCTTCACTTATCTCTGGAGTGGGATCAGTGATGATGGCCTGGCGAATGACGAAATCTCAGCACGGTTACAGAAGGCTCGATCGGCTTTTGTCAATTTGCGTCATTTGTGGCATAGGCGAGATATCCGTCTGCTAACCAAAGGACGAGTGTACTGTGCAGTAGTTGTCTACGTCCTACTGTGGTGCGAGCTAATTATAAGTAGTATATGACGCGAGTGTAAAAGTAATGTCTGGCAGCAGAAGATAAGGGAAGATCAAGAAAGGGAAAGTTAGAACACAATGGAATTTGTATGAAACGCATGAATAGTGACAATGGATTGATGTTTTGCAACAGGAACAGTCCAGTTCGATATGATGGACTGATATTTTGCAAATTAACGATTTACGATATGGTTTTCCTATTTTACTTAGTAACTCTGTAATTTTCGTTAAATACAATTTGGTTGCCCCACCTGTGTTCTTGTTCACTACACTACCTCATGGCTGCGAAACGTCGGCAATCAGAGTAGAAGATATTCGTAGGTTACTGGTTTTCGATCAAAGGTGTCTCCGAAGCATTGCTCTTGTATCATGGGACAACCGAGTAAGCAATGATGTTGTTAGGAAAAAGGTCCTAGGTAAGGATGGCAGATCAATATATGAAGTGTTGAAACTTCAGTTGAGGTGGTTGAGACATGTGTTACGTATGTCTGACAACAAACTGCGATATATGAATAGGTTGGAAGAAAGCTAGGAGCGGCCAGACCAAAAGATGACACAAATCCATGAAGTCACTAACAACTGAATTGAGTCATGTTGGTAGGTGTCGACTACCTGGTTGGGGCCCGCGAGATGATAGTAATCGATGGTTAGCGTTCTTGAATGTCATGGTTCAAAACCGCTTGCAATGGCGCAGGTGCACTCATTCTTCGTGTTCTCTCAAATCGTAACCTTCTTAATTCCTCATCACTTTTATCTTTTCCTTTTTAGATTTATTTCACTAGATTCTACTTCTTGAATAATACCCTCGAACCCTCATCTTCTCCATTACTGCTAATACTTCTACTACCTGTACTACTATGGGATTTGAATTGACAATTCAATCTGTGTGCTAATGTGTTAGGCAGTCTGAACTGATGAACCTACGTTTGAAGTTCTGCATTGCAGTTCTACGTTGTAACTGACTGATTGACTGAAAATACTTGAAAGTTTTTCTTATTTTCACCTTTATAACAATAGGTAGGTGATAGTGTAGTGTGTAGATTTTCACGATCAGTTATTATTCATTAGTAGAAAAATAGGTCAGTAACACAAAAAATAAACTATATTACCGAGCATTTATATAGGTCATGACTATTTGAAATATAACCTACTCCGTACACACTAATTTTCAATGGTTTCTCATGGTTTGATTATTATATGAAACGGTCTGAAAAATGATTCTGCTTATTTCAGACGACGAATATAGACACTATATCAAGTCGTTATAGAATAAATATGACACTGACTAGAACACAAATTAGTATTTAAACAAATAACTCAGTTTCATTAACACAACTATGTAGATGTAGACACATTTATTTGTTGATAAATATTATACTAAGCACACTAAATTTGAAGATTCCAATGTTATACCGATTGATTCTTTTCCTAATTATTTTCCCTGTTGTTAATATCATTGGAAAAAAATGTATTCAAATGCACTACCACATCTACTTCCGGATAACAGCAAATAAGTATGCTTCACATTAGGGTAGGACTTTCATATGTTTTTAAGACAAATACAGTTAATCAGTCAGCTACAACATAGAATTTCGTACGTACATACATCAGTTCAAGTTGTCATACCACATTAACACTCAGAGATCGGATTGTTGATCCCATAGTAGTAGAGGTAGTAGAAGTATGACCGGCAATGGAGAAGTTTAGGGTTGGAAGATATGATTCAAGAAGTATAACCCAGTGAAATAAATTTAAAACGAGAAAACGACCAAGAGGAATGAAAGAAGACAAA